CTGCTGTCTTTCAGCCACACCCCTGATCTTCTGGTAGGAAAGATCTACACCTAGCCTTCTCGGACAATGGCGAAAAATCTCGGAGGGCCCGTGTGGAAGTTGCGCACTTTAAAGATCCCTTGGTGGTCTAAAATCGAAAAGAGTAGGCTTCGGCCGCCACCCGAGCAAAATTCAAAATTTCCTACCAACTGAAAATGTTAGGTGTGTCCCGCGCGCTCATATATGATCTTATGCAGTTGCGAGTGCCGTAAAACATTTACAAAAAAAATTTAATTAAAAAAAATAAAACGTTAATGATTGCAACAAACAAACAAACAACAGAATAAAAACAAATATAAAACAAAACAACAGTAACTACTGATAAGAAGAATGGAGAAAGCGCGGATTAAGTATGTCAATGCGGAAAGATCAGAACAGTGTACAGGCGAATTCATGCTGGCTGGGAATAAAGTAGGTCTACTAGGGAGAAAATGAGAGAAAGAAAGGGGGTACTGCGGGGGCGGGAGAGTGACAACTAAGCTTATTAAACCCAAATTTAACAGGGCCATTTGGAAGGGAAGCAACGCGAGAAAGAAAAAAAGCCGAAGATTTAATTAACTAGAATACAATCACTAAATCATAGATTGTCTATCGAAAAAAAAAAAAAGAAAGAATATTAAACACATCCAACGTGGTCGGGATACAATGCCTATCTTCATATTTTCAGCTTTGGTTCTGTAAACACCAATTGAAGCACCAAAATGTTATTCACTTTTAGAGTACTAAGTAATGCACACTTTTAGAGTACTTAGTTTTAGTTTTAGTAAGTGTTTTACGGCACTCGCAACAGCATAGGTCATATGAGCGCCAGAAGATTAGAGGTGTTACAAGAGAGTAACAAACACAAAAAAGGAGGGGAGATAGAGACGATATATTTTTTATAGGAAAGAAGGAGAAAACCACAACAGAACACCCGCCAACCACCCACTTAGAGTTCTTAGTAATGCTCAAGTGAAATGGAAAAACGTAATGACTCAAAAGACTAGGTTTATTTATATTATACAGTCAAAAAGGGATTGCACTCATTCATTTTTATCG